CATCCAAGAAAGGAATTGGGAAATCATCTAAGCTGCCAAGCTTTCAAGTGTTGGAATTCTTCTTTCTTAGTGAAGTGCTCATTTCTCCAATACTGCTCCCTTCTCTTCTTAGTTGTGCTTACAAGTCTAAGTGTTGTGAGGGATATTAAGTTGATTTAGTGCTAAAGAAAAGTGCTAAAGCCGCACGGGTGACTTAGGATAAGTTAGTTCGTGACATATTGCTCGAAATTTAACATGCTTATATAGTACAATCCAATTAGTTTTGATTTTGAATATTTACGTATGTTATTTAAATTAAACTCAATCATATATTAATTGTGAGTGTGTGCAACTCATTTCATGCTTCCTAATAGTTTTAAACATAATATTTAGTCTCAAAAAATAAAAAATAAGAGATGAAATTATTCTTGTTGAAGCTTGAATTTTAGAATGGCGAATTTCATGTCTTTAAATTTATTTAGTGATTAGCTTCAACTTGAGCAAGGTAATTTTCAATGTGCTTAATTTTTATTTTCATTGATCTATTGTTGAAACATTTTAATATAAACCTTCATAAATCTTAAATAATTAAGCTTAACTAAATTATGTATATGATCATCAAAATTATTATTTATACTAAAAATCAAGGGTTTAACATCATTGTCCCTTTCTTTCTTATATATCATTGTCCCTTTAACATCATTGTCCCTTTCTTTTCCTAAAGTACTCCTCTATGTGAGACGAAGCGACCCTTTCAAATATGGAGATACATTGTCTTAAATTTTTTGAGAATCATTCAAGCGGCAATGAACTTCTCAAAATTATTCATGACAATCTAATCATGAGAAATTTAAAGTGATAATCAATGGGCTATCAAGGTCACTGCCCATGACATGGAATATTCAGTTCATTGATCGAAGGCTTCGTCGATGATTCTAGTTCAATTTTTTGTCATGAGGTCAGTGCTGGTTGTCTAGATCCACCTAGGGCTTAGCAAATTGTTGTATTAACCCAAAAGCATTATCTTATGATCATGGTTTAATCATTTGTAAATATGAAAAAAATTTAATAAGGACTTAAACACCTCTTATGAATAATTTAAATAGTCGCTCATTTTTTTTAAATATTTAGACAAATTTTTGTCTCATCAATGAATGTTGTAGTTATGTCGATGAACAAATTACACATGATTGTCACCAACATGGACGAGACACCTACTTACAACCTTGTCAGTTCATTTAGTAGTTTCTTGTAATTGCATTGATTGTTGTTGGTCCATTATCACTGAATTGGACTTGCATTGCTACTGCCCCCAAGTCCACCATAGCTCCCATCCTCTTTATTGACTGCATCCACTATTGCTAATCTTGTCATTGTTTTTTTTGCCTTGAAGTGTTTTCTTGTGTGTTAATGCAAGCCACCTTAGCTTTTTAATTGAGGGCTTAAGTCTCAATCAAGAGATCATGGGTTCAGGCTTTTACACATATGCTGTGCATGTTTTTGCAATTAAAGAACATTAAAACTACTATTGTTGGGTTCCAATCCCTAAATGAGAAAAATGGAGGGTTGTCTTAGGTAGTCGGCAACCAACTAAATTTTTTGTCAAAAATATCATCACTTGAATGTCTTAAATCATTATGTAAATGTTTGGGTGTCCCTAGAATTAACGGGCTGCATGACTTGAATACAATGAAAAGTGTGTAAGAGCTGCTACACCAACGCCTGAGTGTAATGTTAAATAAGCAAGAACTCACACATTATGGATGGATGTGAGGAAAAAAGTTAATCTTTGAAACTAATATTAGGATAAAATCATGGAATATAGACACTCTCACAAGTAAAATAATGGAATTAATAATAAGAAGAAAATATCTTTTGCATTCAAGAAAGTAATTGGGTTAGAGAAAATGTAAAGTCATTGATAGCTTACAGGTAGAAGTCACACTAGAAATTATGTGTGTAATTATAGATAAGAGTTTGAAAGATAATGTTGTAAAAATTAATATAATTGGAGATAAAATTATGACCCTAAAGATTGTTATTGATACTACAATTTTTAATTTTACAATTGCTTATGTTCCTCAAGTAGGTTTAGATATATGTTAAACTTTTTTTTTGGAATATCTATAAGAATTTATATAAATGATACATTTATAAAGAATAATTTTTATTGGAGGAAAGTTAAATTGACATGTTGTTAGAGTGATATAAAATTTTAGAAATATTTGTGGTGGCTACAGTTTTGCAGTTATTGATGAAAAATGTAGAACCATATTAAATTTCACTTTAGTTTATGATTTTGTTATTGCTAGTATTTTATTTAAGAAAAAATATGAACATATTATTACTTATAAAAATAGATTAAGTAAAACATAAATTGATTATTTTCTTATGATAAAAGAGACCGTCGAGAATGTAAAGACTGTAAGGTCATCCTAAGTGAAAATTTAGATACTCAACATCGATTATTTGTTTTGAACTTTAAGATGAGGAGTTCGAAGATGAAAACATATAATGAAGTATTACTATAGAATTAGATGAGAATACCTGAAAGACAAAAAAAAATTACCTTTATGAGTGAACTTCAAGATTTTAAGTGTTAGGATATTTATGAAGAAGTTAATTCTATGTCTGATAAAGTGACAAATACTATTAAATAAGTGGCAAAAGATGTACTTGGAGAATAAAAAAAAAATTATAAACAAAAATAGTTGGCAATGGAATAATAATATGCAAGAAAAAAATAAAATATAAGAAGTTTTGTTATAAAAAATATTTCAGATGTAAAACTTAGAGAACTAGGAATAATATAAGGTGACACATAGAGAGTCTAAGAGAACAACTTGTAATGCTAAAATTTCTACTTTTAGTGATCTTTATAATGAATTTGAGATACTGAAAAAGGTGAAAGATATATGTATAAATTAGCTAAATAAAGAAAAAATAAAAGTAAAGATTTAATTCAAGTAATGCATATAAAAGATAAAAATAGAAAATGCATTTCTTAGTGTAAGATATTTAACATATATTGGTAAGATATTTTAATAAAATTTTTAATAAAATTTTTGGAAGTAAAATTGACTTTAGTGATCTTAATATCGTTAATAGTTATTTTTTTTTTATTTTCACCCTCGCATTAGTAAAAAGGAAGTTGAGGAGGCTTTAAAGAAAAATAAGGTAGAAAATCAGTAGAAATTTAGGAATTTTTGGAATTTTTTGGCTTTCTAAATTTTTTAATATTATTTTAAAACCTAAAAAGATGCTCAGGTAGTGGAGGAAGAATATTTTGGTCTCCATTTTTAAGAATAAAGGGGATGTACAGGGAGGGTATGCAAGTTATAAAGAAATTAAGTTAATTTGCCATACATTAAATAATGAGAAAGTAATTAAATATAAGTTAAGATGTGATATAAAGATTTCCCATAATCAGCTTGGATTTATGTCAGACAAGTCTACTATGGAAGCTATACATTATTGAGAAGTTTGATGCAGAAGTACAGAGAGAGTAGGGATGATCTATATATGATTTTTATTGATTTATTAGAAAAACTTACAATAAGGTTCCAAGAGAAGTTCTTTGAAGAGTTCTATAAAAGAAAGTAGTTAATATTACTTATATTCAAGTCATTAATGATATGTATATAGAGTTGTTACTTGTGTTCGAACAGAAGGATGATTGAACAAGTACTTTTCTATTTCAGTTAGATTACATTAGGGATCAACTTTAAGCTCATATCTTTTTTGCTTGAGTTATGGATAAATTTATTGGATATTTACATGAGGATGTACCTTGGTGTATGCGTTAGGATGTACCTTGGTGTATGCGTGGTGTATGCGTTTTGCTGATGATGTCCTTCTTGTGGATAAGACTAGAGAAAATGTTCAAGATAAACTTGAATTGCGGAGGTCTATATTAGAGTTTGAATGCTTTCGTTTGAGTAGATCTAAAATGGAGTACATGGAATGTAATTTTTATAATAGTAGATCTAGTGGCATAGTTGTAATATTGGGTAATCAAATCATTAAAAGAAGTGATATAGTTGGCGATGTTATTGGTAGAACTCAAGTTGGATATTTGAAGTGGAGGAATGCATCGGCTTATTGTGTGATAGAAAAGTACCTATTAAACTTAAAAGGAAAATTTTATAAAATGACGGTGAGACCAACAATGCTTTATGGCAAAATGAATATATCTGTGAAATGGTTGGCATGTGATAGAAAATTAAACTAAATTTTGCTGAGATGAGAATGCTTAGGTGGATGAGTGGCTCAACTCTTAGAGATATCTGTGAAAGGGTTGGTGTAGCTCCAGTGACAGACAATATTAGAGAGAGTCGTTCTTTATAATTAACTTTTATTCTTTTCTTTTTATAGGGGCAGTAGCTGTCATTTCAAAATATTATTTACTCTTTATGCATTTTTTACTTTTTAATGAAGACCCAGGGTGAATCTCTAGACTGGGGAAATTAGTTTCATTGTTATGGGGTTTATGAAAGAAAGCAAATATCTCTGCAATATAGAACTGATGTGACCATAGGATTATGCTATTCTGAACAATTGGCTGAAAAAATTACATCCCACCTCTTCTTAACAATATGGAATTTTTGTGATAGTTGGAATCCATTGAAAAATTGTTTTAAGTCCTTTATTGACCAAGATATTGATTTCAATTTCATCTAATAGTTTGCAAGTTATTAGATTGACTTATTTTCTATATTTTAGTTACCGAATCTCATATCAAATAATTTTAATTGAGATATAATTAGTTTTAATCTAATTAATCACACTTATAACATTATCAGGTAAATAATTTACTCATTTCATTTCATTTACTAATAATCAGTTGGCAGATTTAATCAATAATCAAGCATGAATTTACTAATCATTTCCTTGAACTAATAAATTAAATTGTATTACTGATACTAGCATTTGCATAATTATTTAAACATTTGTTATAAATCAACCGTACAAGGTAATATCCACATCTCCCTGATATATGGCTTCTCTTGCTTCTATGGCAGAATCCTCAGAACTATGAAGTTTTGATGCTTCCTTCTATTACAAAGTCTGTAAGATCCATCTTTCATCATCTGGAACAAAACACCTCTCAACATCTTATTCCAGGTATGTAATCAGCTTCCCTAAAATAAACTTTTACTAAAGAAAGCAGCATAAAATCTACTGGCGTTTTCCCCTAGTATCTGACAACAACACCAGGTTCACTGAGAAATCAGTGAAATTTTGCAGCATGGTTTCTTCCACCATTGTGGAAGTTACAAAACAGCAAGAATCCGTTTCGGCTAATGTGGGCAGTCGTTGCTCGGCAAATGTCGGTGCCACTCCAGATATCGAAAAAAAATATGTGCACCATGTTTATAATGACATTGCTCAGCATTTTAGCGCTACTAGATTCGCTAAATGGCCTAAAGTTGCCAGATTTTTGAATTCCTTGAGTCCTGGTTCTGTCATCTTGGATGTTGGTTGTGGAAATGGCAAGTATCTGGGCTTCAATCCGAACTGCTTTTACATAGGTTGTGATATCAGCCCACCTCTGATCAATATATGTGCAAGGAATGGTCATGAAGTTTTGGTTGCTGATGCGGTTAATCTACCTTATATAACTAATTTTGGCGATGTTGCTATTTCTATTGCCGTTCTTCATCATCTCAGCACAGAAAGTAGGAGGAGGAAGGCTATAGAAGAGCTGATTCGAGTGGTACGAAAAGGTGGAGTTGTTCTAATCACTGTCTGGGCTGTAGAACAGGAGGATGGTTCATTAATTTCAAAGTGGACACCACTTTCTGGGAAGTACAATGAAGGATGGGTAAGCTCTGGCTGTCCTCAAGTGCGTAATTCTGCCACACAGATGCTAGAACAGATTCCAGAGACAAATGAAGGTTGTAGAACAGAGAGATCCAAATATCATTTCACTGGTCCAGGAGATGGTGAAACTGGTAGAAAGGACAATATGATGGCTGCTTCTTTTTGTAATGTAGTAAATGAGCCTGCCATTGCTTCTAGTAATTGTAAAGCTGATATTAATCAGGAATACTTTGTTCCTTGGCATTTGCCATATCATCGTGCTGAAGTTAATGGCGCTTCGACTGCAGCAATTGCACATGGATTGGCAAAGAAAGATGATCGGAAGGGAGCTGTGGTTTATAATCGCTATTATCATATATTTGCTGAAGGTGAACTTCAAAGGTATGTTGGTCTTCTTGTTTGAAGATGTTGACCTCTGTGATCATCAATTTTATGTCTTTTATTTTTTTAATTTTTTTAGCTTAGAGCTATATTCAAATTAGTATCAATTCCCATCTATGTGGTAGTCTTTCTAATTGATTTACTTATGAATTAGACGTCTCTTATGATAATTAACTGCTTTCCATATTTCTATCTACTTAATATATTGATTTCTCACTTATGCTAGTAACATTTTATTCATTTGCATACATACCACACAATTATTATTTGATTACATATCTAGCACCTAAATTTTTAAATTTATAAACACATTATTCAAATCTTTAATATCATGTGAAAAATATCACTATAACTAACTTTTTGAAAGTGAAACACATCCTTTCATGCACAACTTTTTGACAACATATATATTATGAAAGAATATAAGAAATTTTGAGAGGTTAGGAAATATACAAGAATTGTGGTTTGCATATAATTTCTCATATAAGATTTTGTTTAAACTCTTTTGTGAATTTTCACGTGTTTCCTTCTATTTTTGAGTTTGCCAATGTTGTACTTGCACGACTGAACAAACTATGACTTAGGGTCTGTCTGGGATAGCTGTTGATTATTTATAATCTGCTGATAAACAGATTATTCTGATACTCTGATATTCTGCAGATTATCAGAATAAATTGGCTTGTTGTTTGAGGCAGCTTATTCAGAACAACTTACTTGGAGCTGTTGTTGAACAAATGACCATTCTGCCTCTGTTTGGTTAAGCAGTTTGCAACAGAACTGTTTATGGAAAATAATAGATAAAAAATATGTCTCAAACTATTACAGTTCAGTTACAAAAATTAAAATACATTGTTCATCATTTCATGAGTATCAAAACAAATAAAATAAGAAGAAATACAATTACAATTACAATTACAATTACAAGTAAAAAAATTAAAATGTTCAATTTAAAATTCTGACGTCATCTGTCCTCAGCGGCACGGTCCTCTTGGGAAATCATCGTAACACGATCACTGTCGGCATGGGAGCATGTCGGAATGTCGGCCTAACAGAAGAAATCGCATCTTGTTGAAACACCACTCTGACAACCGTAGAACTGTCTCCCACTGCTATGAGGTTGGTGTGACGTGAGTAAGGGAGCCGGTAGTCCGCAGTAACACAACACAACTTGGGAGGTCCTTCAAATCCTAGAGCTTATGCTGCTACTGAGATAAAACAACCAAAATTTGGTATCTGGTGTCTGGATAGGGCTTCAGGTAGCTCCTTAGCATCAGATATCCAACATCAACCAAATAATACTTTACTGTTATGAAAGCCAATATTAATGAAAAATAATACATGTAATTTGTAGGTTTAAGTGAGATGAACAAACCTGAAGGTGGGTGAGGGAAACAGTGTTCTATTCCTAGTTGCATGAGAAAAAAGATGACTGTCATGTGCACTTTCTTTCCATCCCGCCATTACAAATGTGAAGCATATATTGAAGTCACACACTGCCATGACATTTTGGGTAGTTGTACCACTTTGACCAATGTACGCGATCTTTTTTTGGCTTGGTAGTCGGGCATCCACATGCATACCATCAATTGCTCCAATGCAGTTCTGTTACTCATATGTAGCAATTCAATAGGTTATGAAGCTAACATAACAAACTAATAAAACTTACTTTGAAATACGATATGTAACGGGATCATTTGCAATTTGTTCAGGAATAATTATGAACGATGGATCCGCTGGCTCAATGTTTTCCGCTGCTAAGCTCACAAGTGCTTGTATACCTATGGAGAAGTATCGACTAATTATTTCTGAGAAATATTGAAATTGCTCCATAGCTTCTCTAATTGATTCATTCTATGAGAGAATGTATAATGTTGTAGCCAACACTTCTCTCGTGGTTGTTCTAGAAGAACCTTGGAGGCCGTGGTTTGACATAAGTCGTGTAGTAGATCCATAAAAATGGGCGCAGTCATTCAAAAAATATTGCTGAACCTTATCGGATATCTAGCAAGCATCTCACTTACCCATTTGTCCCCAACATATGAGGACGTCATGCGTGGTAATTGTCTAGTGCTGGAGCGGTAGTATTCCAACAATAATATCGCTATAGTTGCAGCCCCTGCCATTCTTTCACGACATCCTTGCTGTGGATCCTTCTTGAAATTAGAAATGCATTATGATGAAATAATTTATGGAGAAGTGGTGATGGCAAAATAAAATAGTAAAAACATGGAGTACAAAACATCAGAAAATGAATTACATAAATTGTTCAGGAGTACAAAACATCAGAAAATGAGTTACATAAAATGTAATACATCTAGTGACACCTTAATACAAAACAAACTCATTCTTTTACTAAAACATGTAAATATTCAATGCGCAACTCGGGCCGTAGCGCTATGAACATTTGCCTATTAGTAGGGTCCTCAAGTTTTTTAACACATTTTGCCTGAAAGCGCATATCAGCAGCTACTTCTGAATAATATCTAAAATGGCAACGCAATCCCAGATGGTGCTGTCAGGGGGAGGCAGAACTAAAAAAACAGCAATTAGTTGATCAAATGAGCTTTTCACGAAACCATCATTCTCTTTCTTCCTTCTGCCAAGCCTGGGCCTTTTGGACATGGAACTGGACTCTTTCATCTCCTTTTGGTTAATACTAGGTCTTTTTTCATCAGCTATAACTTGTTGAAGTAGCAAGTCATCTGGTATTCCTATAAATCCCAACTCACTTGGGTTGAATGCATGCTTTCCAGTCGCGACAACCCCCTTAAACATTATGCTTAAACATTATGTCTAACATTATGTCTAGTTTTTCCTCGAACTCTGGCTCAATTTCGCACTGCCTATATTTTTTGGCTGTTGGCATGACCTGCATATTGAATGGAATTAAAGGGGTTTCAAAATTAACCAAAAAATACTGAAATTAACAAAATAAGATTGTATTTATTACCTCCAATCTTTCAGCCCACCATTCATCTGAAGTATCGACTGTTCGCTTAACGGGATGCTAACCCAATCCTATGGATCCACATTTGAGCTCCTTCTAAATTTTTCATTCTTTCTTCAACTGTTTCCATTTATTTTTAAATTTGAGCCTGTCGTAATCTCTCCCTGTCAATTATTTGAACCTTCTAGCAATATTTTGCCAACATTCTTTATTGAAACACGTGGTTGACCTATTTCCCAGTTCTATTTTTTTAATACATAGATCGCAAAAAATATTTGTTACTTTATCCCACATAGCAGACAGTCCCCCTTCAGCAGCCTTAGACATGTTGGAACTGTAAATGAAGTATAAAATTATTGAAAAAAAAAATGTCACAAAAGAATTATATGGTTCGGTCAAAGATCTGCATGCACAATAAACATCGAACACGTTTTATTATGTAATTGTGTAAAGTTACATAGTTATGAATCTCAAAGGAGACCCCTATACAATCAGTTTTTCATATGTATCCTCCCTTTTCATATTTACCTCAACTAACAAATAAAAGTAGCTCAACTTAAACCAATGTCGAGCATATTCATTTTTGATTTCACTGCATTCAATGAAAGAGATATTTATGAAGCTATTAGAGGCTTCATCCTGTTTTTGTACCAAAAAGAAATGTTGCCAAATTACTGCCCTATAGTTTCCAGCCATACGTTCATTTCCAGCTGCTGGAAACAGGTATGAAGTATAGAGCTCTACAAATTTTTGAACTGATGCAAACATGTTAATTGCTGGAAACAGATAAATGAATCCAATGGATGAATGTTACGAATGAACAACAACAGATGATTGAATCCAACAGATGAACTGTTGCAGCTAATATCTAAACAGAAATTGCAACTGCAGCTAAAAGGTGCAGCCAATCAATCTGCAGCTAATAACATTACCAAAATAACCAAACTACAGCTAAGCAGAAGTTGCATCACAGAAAGTGCTGCACATTCCATCACATAAGCTGCAGCTAAACAGAAATTACAGCTAATAACATTACCAATATGCCTAAAACCTGCAACAAATTCCATCAAAAAAGCTGCAGTTTAATAGAAATTGCAGCCAATAGCATTACCAATTTGTAGTAGTTTCCTAAAAACTGCACTAAAATCCAATATTGAAACTGCAGCTAGCAAATCCCCATTTATTGAAACTGCAGCTAACAAAAGCTAACAATGATATCAAATAAACTGCAGCTAACGGAATTGATTCATTCGAAAGATCGTGGAAGAGCAATTACCACAACAACTGCTCAACACAATTAAGCCTAAACAAACATTAAAAAGTGAGTGCAATATAAATTTTAACTAATAAAAAAACACAAAAACAACCCAATTCATATGCCTCATAATATGAGTAATTTATCCATACATTCCCACATTATTTATCTGTAGAAAAATGCCTACACATCCATTTTGGATAAAACTACAACTAGTAAGACATATAACCTCTAATAATCAGGGGCTAATTCTTCAAGTTCAGGCCCTCAAAAACCTGAATAACAAGCATATTGGACAATTTCAATGCATAGCACAAATTTTATACTGATGCATCTATCATTGATACTGATGCATCTATCATTGCTAAAAATTCAATCTCCTCACAAAAGTTTAGAAAGCAGGAAAAAATGACAATCCAACGGAGCTGTGGTAACTTTCTAGTAGGCTAATGAATTCAGCTGCCACAAAAAACCACTGAACAAAAAAACAACTGTTCTTTAGACTTTCAGTTTTGTTCTTCTGGTTGGACACCAAAATTCCAGACATAACCTTATTATATTTGACATTAAATGCTCATAACAGCAAAAATTTGGATAAACGACGCCGATGTATTCTTTCAGACCAATATAAATAGTGAAGTTTAGATGTTAAAAACATAAATATATCATGGAAACAACAGTTATCCTCATTTAAGCCCTCACAGGCACGTGCTATCCAATCTGCTTCATCGCCATTACAGTATACATCATTAATGCAGTTTCTATCTTTGTGGAAATTCCAAGTTCTGTACGGTGATT